GCGGGCCGGGTTGGGGGTCAGCCGCTCTCCTTCCGCACTTAGCGAGGCTTTGATAGCCAGGCCTCGCGTGCGGCTGGAGCCTGGGGTGGGAATCGGGGCTGGGATGCTGCCCCCCACGTCGGCTTGGTGAGGAGGTGCTGGCGACTGCCCCATGCCCACATCTGCAGAGTTCCAGCCACAGCCACCTCACACAGTCCCTGCCCACGTGCGTGCAGAGCTGTAACGGTGTGGTCTGAAGGCACCGGCCCCCCCGCATCCAGGTGACTGCGGTCCCTGCCTCAGCGCATTCCCAAGCCCGCCAGGCTGCAGCTCAGACAGGAGGCTGATTGGGCCCCAGCCAGCTGGCTCCTGCTCCTGGGCCAGGCGCACGGCCCCCTCTTCGGTGCGCTCAGACGGCCTCCTCCAGGGCTGGGGGCTGGGCCAGGCTGCTGTGGGCGCCTGCCAGGCTCCTTGGCGCCTTGCTCTGCAGCCCCATCTGATCTGTCAGCCTGACAGCTCCCGGTGGATCAGGGCTGCACGGCCAGCTCATCCCAGAGCTCTGCCCCACTGACGCTGGGCCCACTGTCACCACGGGCAGAGACGCAGGCAGTGTCTACCCCATGCCAGGCGAGGCGGGCTGAGGATGGGTCGAGACAGAAGCAGAGCTGGGCTTGGAAGTGAGCTTCAAACATGCAGCCAGTGTCCCGCCAGCCAGCAGCTGTGACAGCCCAGCTGTGGCCGGAGCGCAGAGGGCCAGACCAGAACAGCCAAGGGGGAGCGCAGGTCCGGGCAGCCGCCAGGACGGGGCAGGAGCAGCAAGGGGCCACAGCAGGCCACCTGCCCTGGACTAGAAAGAGGATTTCAGGGGAGCAGGGACGGAGGGAGGGGGACAGCCTGGGCCTGGCTCATCCGTGGGAGCTGCACTTTGACAAGAACACAAGGGAGCTCCGTGGAAGCATTTTAATGTGTGTGCCCGTGCGCGTGCGCCTGGCCAAGGCTGAGAAAGATGGGTAAGCAGAGTCTGAGCTGGGAAGTCCGGCACGGGGCCGCAGGGAGTAGGAGCGGATGGGGAAGCCCGGAACAGGAGAAGCAGCCAGAGACAGACGCCAGACTCCATTGGAAGCGGAAAGGACTTTAATACTGCGGTGTTAACAGGAACTTCGTTCCTGAGCCAGGCGTGGTGGTGCGTGCCTGTAATCCCAGTGCGCTGGGAGGCTGAGGCAGGAGGACACCAAGTTCCAGCCAGGTCTGCACAACTTAGTGATGTGGCAAGACCCTGTCTCAGATAAGAAACAAAAGGGCTGAGGATGCAGCTCAGTGCCGAGGCCCCAGTATCACAAAATAAACTTGCCATCACCTCTTTCCCGGTGTCCCTGCCAAGGACCACCCAGTCACACCCTCACTCACAGCCGGTGTCCCCAAAGATGTGCAAGGGGCCTGGAGGTACCTGAGGCAGCTCCTGTCTTCCCAGCCCAAGCACAACCCCCTGGGTGGCAGGCTTCCTGGCACCCAGTGCCACTCTGTAGCCCATGGGCACCTGGGAGGGAGGAGGGCTCCCATTGCCACTGCTGTGGTGTGGCACACGCGTGGATCCCCTGGCTGAGGCAGGAGGACCACATCCGCCCAGCATCTCACACACACACACAGTCCAGAAGCCTCAGCCCCAATCCAGAGCACGGCTCCGGAGCCTGTGGGCCTGGGCCTCAGAGAGGAGAGGCGCTGTCGTCAGTCCCAGCTCCCTGTCCCGGACACAGGCACTTTCCACACCTCCTGCCTGCTGAGCTATAAATAATGAGCTAGAGCGCGAGGGAGGGAGAGAGGGAGGGAGTTAGAGCCGCAGCCCAGTGCCGAGAAGTAGGCAGGCGTCCTGCCCCACCTCGGCCTCCCAGACGCCTGTCCGGCCTGCGGGAAACGCCCAGCACTGGAGTGGGCACCAGGGCACCCCCAGGGGCCCCGCGGTCCCGGCTGTTACTTCACTGACCTTCTCCAGGGCAGCCTCTCCTCAGGGCCCAGAGGAGAAGCAGGAGGAGGTGTGGCCCCCCCTCGTCCTGCTGCTGTCCCCAGCCCACAGTGGGACCAGCATCCTGGGTCCTGACAGCCCAGCTGAGGCCCTGCACAGAGGTGGCCCCGACTGGCCCGGTCAGGAATCTGCACAAGCAGCTGCATGGCGGGGAGCGAGTGGGCCTGCCCTGTTGTGCCTCAGTTTCCCATCTGTGCGTTGGAGGTGACGGACAGCACAGCTGGTGCTGTGGGGACACAAGGAAGCCATGTCCTGTGCTGGCCACGCCTGCTGATCTGTCTTGGCTGCTCTTGTGCAGACGCTGAGGGCCGCTGGGCAGCGTCAGGGCCTGTCCACCTTGCGGTGAGCTGGCCGCACCCGACTTCTTGTCTCCTATACTGCAGAGCTCCAAGCCCTTCGGGCCCATGTGCAGCGAGCCAGGCTCCCTCTCCCGGGAGGAAGAGAGCACAGGGAGCTGGCCCTACATGGGCAGGGCTCCTGAGAGGGCTTAAGCACTGCCACTGAGTAACTCTTCTTAATGGCGCCTTAATCCCACTGCTGTCTGCCCGAGGGCAGCAACGGTAATGCAGGTGCGGGCTGGAGGGTCCACCAGAGCCTCCGCCTTTCCCACCAGAGAAAGCTGGGCATTTATCAAGGGAGGGGCGCTGAGAGCAGGATAAGTACATAATAGGAGAGCTGCGGATGTGTTAAGAGCTCCTACAGTCGTCCCACCCCGAGTGCACAAATCAAAACAGTATTACCGCTACTGCTGCTCAGCTAAAAGTACAAGGATTTGCTGGGTGTGGTGGCACATGATGGTAATCCCAGCTCTCTGGGAGGCTGAGGCAGGAGGGTCACAAATTGGAACCCAGCCTGGATGATTTAGGGATTTAGTGAGACCCTGCCTCAAAATAAAAAAGGGTCAGGGATATAGCTCAGTGTGAAGGCCCCAGGGTCTGTCCCCAGTACTGCAAAAATAATAATAAAATGATAGGAATAATAACTTGAAAATTAACATATTTTTTTGAGACAGTATCACTATGTAGCCCAGGCTGGCCTCACAGTTGCAGTGATCCTCCTGCCTCCAGCCTCCAGAGTGCTGGAGTTACAAGTGTATGTCACCACAATCATCTGAAAATTAAATTCTAAAGAGAAAAGAAAGAACAAAGAATCAGAGGGCCGGAAGCTTCATTCTGGGGCTCACCCCGAACTCACCCGCGGAGAGCTGCACAAGGCGCAGTGCACACGTTCGCAGTAGGCGTGACCTCGGGTGTGCTCCGACTGGCCTGGGTGAGGCGCCGGGGAGGCCGGGCCTCCTCTGCGCATCCTCGCCACGGCCACCAGGGGGCAGCACAGCCCCAGCAATGACGTCGGCCCTCCTGTGTGTGGGTCCCAGCCAGTGGAGGCCACGTCTCCGCCGCCCCCCCGCGCTTCCCTGGACCGGGCGGTCAGGAGCCCCCCCACCCCCCGGGGACCCTCGGGCCCAGGCCACGGACGCCGGTCCCGGGAGCAGGAGAGGAGCACCCGCCCCGCATACAAGCATCTCCCGCTGCAAGACCAGCCTCAGCGAGCCACCTCCTCTCCAGGTGCGATCAGAAATCCGGTGAGGCCGCTGCCCAGAGCATCCGTGCGGCGGCTCGAAGAAACCAGAGCTGTGCCCTCACCCACCTGACTCCGGGCCTAGCACGGTGTGACCTCCAGCTCCTCCCTAAGGTCAAAGTGACCGTGAAAGGTCAGGGTGTTGAATCATCCAGGACCTCGAGGCCGCCAGGACAGCACAGCTAAGACTCGGAGGAAGAGAACTCCAGAGCTGCTGCAGGAAGTGGCAGCACACGGAACGAGTTCAGAGGAAGGGCAGGCTTTTGAAGAGGCTTCGTGGCAATATGTCTTCTGCTGTAATAAACTCATTGCTGGGCACGGTGAGCGTCAGCCCAGTACTGGGGAGCCTGATGCAGGAGGATCGCCGTGAGTTTTAGGCCAGCCCCTCAACTACATAGTGAGACCCTGTCTCAAAACTGAAATAAAATAAAAACGTAAACGTTGCCTTTTGATCACGCCACGCAGAGAGCACAATCGTGGGTGTGGGGCCTGAGTGGCTGCCCTGTGATTCTGAAGTCCCATGGGGCGGGCAGTGGGCAGAAAGTCTGGAGAGTCTTCGGGTGGCAGTGAGGGGAGAAGCCTGAGCTGGCCTGGTGTGGCCCAGCCCGGCCTCCCCCAGGCAGGGACCTGCAGTCCTAGGTAGGCAGGAAGGAGCGGGCCGCTCTGAGGCTGAGTCAGCGCCCTCTCCGTGTCTCCACCTGCTCTGGCCCAGGTGGGTTTTCCTGCACGAGAAGGCATACCAGGTACGGGACACGGCCATCGAGTCCTCGGTGGTGACCAAGGTGAAGGGCTTCGGACGCTACGCCAACCGTGTCATGGACGTGTCCGACTACGTCACCCCACCCCAGGTACCAGAGCCCGTGCCGCGGCGGCGTGGGGCTGCGTCCCTCCCCCGCCACCCTCACTGCCCAGCTCCCCTCTCCCCCAGGGCACCTCTGTCTTCGTCATCATCACCAAGATGATCGTCACAGAGAACCAGATGCAGGGCTTCTGCCCAGAGGTGCGGCTGCCAGGTGGGCGGGCGGGGTGACCAGGCCTGAGTCCACCCCGGGCCGCGGCCGGGAGTCCCAAGGCTCCCCTCAGGGTGCCCTGTCCCTGTCGCCCCACAGAGCGAAGAGAAGTTCCACTGTGTGACCGACAGCCAGTGCCGGCCAGGCCGCTTTGCCAGCGGGGGTGAGAGTGGAGCCGTCCTCGGGGCTGGATCCCCGCAACTCTACCCTCTCTCGAGGCGCCAGGCCTGGCAGCTTTGAGGGTGGCCACCCATGGCGCCCTGAAGTTCGGGGGCCCTGGGGGACAGCGCGTGGGGCCCAGGGCGGTGGGGATGTGGAGGAGAGGCGGCCGATGGCTTCCCAGAGGGTGACATTCACGGTGGGCCTGGAGGACCGGGACATGGTGGGTGTGGGGACAGCAGAGATGGTGGCAAAGGGCAGCGGCCAGCCAGGCGCGTGTCCCTCGTGTGCCCCAGGCATCCTCACCGGCCGCTGTGTGAACCTCAGCTCCCAGCAGCGCTCCTGCGAGGTCCGGGGCTGGTGCCCCACAGAGGTTGACACGGTGGAGAGGTGCGGACCCCGCTCCCCTCACCTGAGAGTCTGGGCTCCCGTGGCCCCGGCCCTCCCAAGGCTGAGGCCCCCTGTTCCGCAGGCCCGTCATGATGGAGGCCGAGAACTTCACCATCTTCATCAAGAACAGCATCCGGTTCCCACTGTTCAACTTCGAGAAGTGAGTCCGGGCATCCCCGAGCCCCAGCGCCCGCCCTCTTCTCTCTTCCGGTGCCACCTCTGTGGGCTCATCGGCAGTGGCCGGGGGCCGTGGCAGGGGCCCCTTCCCTGCCACAGGCCATCAGACACGGACCTGGGAGCCCTGATGTTCCGGAGCGGGTGGGGGTACAGGAAAGTACCCTGGCGAGCGCCCGGGGACAGGTCCCACTGTCCCGCCTGACTCCCAGAGCAGCCATGGGGATGGAGCCGCGGACCTGTCCCCACCGGAGTCCTCTTGCTCCTTGCAGGGGAAACCTCCCTCCTGAGCTGACAGCCAGTGACATGAAGACCTGCCGCTTCCACCCCGACAGGGCCCCGTTCTGCCCCATCCTGCGTGTGGGGGACGTGGTCAGCTTTGCGGGGCAGGATTTCGCCAAGCTGGCCAGCACAGTGAGCCCCGCCCCACGGCCCAGCCTGGAACAGGGACCAGACCCTGCCACGAGGCGCCACCTGGCCTGCGCCACGGCGACTCCTCCCGTCTGTCCACAGGGCGGAGTCCTGGGCATCAAGATCGGCTGGGTCTGCGACCTGGACAGGGCGGAGGATCAGTGCGTCCCCCGGTACTCCTTCACCCGGCTGGACAGCGTCTCCGAGAAAAGCAGGGTCTCCCCCGGCTACAACTTCAGGTACGGGGGGAGGGGGGGGCGGGGACGCGGCAAGCACCAGGGGCCTGTGTCCAACTGTGGGTCCCTGCCTGGCGGGGCTCGGGGCCCAGGGCCCAGGTGAACGGCAAGGAGGGCCCGGTCCCCTGTCACCCGCGCCTGCTCTCGGCCCCCAGGCTGCGCCCCAAGGTGAAGGCCACTGCTGGGATCACCTTACAGGCTGTGGTTTTGCATCTCTGTCCAAAACCAGAAAATATCACGAGTCACCAGCGACAGTGACGGTGACCACTGGTTCTTCAGTGCCTTTCCCAGGAAGAACGGAAACCAGGGGTTTAAATACTGCCTCATTCACCTTCCCACGGACCTTGGGACTTCGGGATCTTTCTGGGTTTTTCCATTTGGGAGAAAAGGAGAGAGAGCGAACACAGGATAAACTACGCAGAGGAGCTGAGTGCTGTCGCCATCTGGGAAGTGGGGCCGATGCCACCTTTATCCCTTCAGTGCGTGCCTGGCAGGACAAGTACCCAATGTGACAGCCTAAAGAGGCTAAGTAGTCTGCTTGGATCATGAGCAGGAGAAATGCCTGTAAGAATATGTTTGTGATACCAAAGAACCCCTAACTCAAATTTCCTTTGTTAGCCGGGTGTGGTAGGCTCGCCTGTCATCCCAGCATTTAGGAGGCTGAGGCAGAGGGGTCACTGCCAGCTCGAGACCAACCTGGGCCACACAGTGAGTCCAAGGCCAGCCTGAACTACACAGTGAGACCCTTCCTCAAAACGCAAACAACAGGGCCAGGGACTTAGCTCAGGGGTGCCACCACCCGCCTCTCAAGCACAAGGTCCAGAGCTTGATCCCCGGCACCCAAACAAACAAACAACACACAAAAAATTCAGATTTCTGTTATGGTAGTAGTAGTCTCCAGTATAATGCCATACACATGCCAAGAAAAAAAATGTGCTTTTTTACCTTTACTTATAAACTTTATGATCACTCCCCATTAAACTTTATATTTAATAGTTTTTTTAAAAAATATATGTACATCTACATATATATATATATTTATATATATATAAATATATATATATACGTTATGTATGTTCTTTGGAAAGAAGATTTAAAAATTGAAATTGCTTTCATAATCAACTCCAGAGTTTTAAAAACCATAGGAAACAACACATATTTTAAAGTAGGTTAAAAATACTGTTCGGCTCCCTGGCAGAAATCGGCATATTTCTCCAGTCAGTACATCACCCTGCGATCAATACAAAGGTAAATATATATATATACGTTATGTATGTTCTTTGGAAAGAAGATTTAAAAATTGAAATTGCTTTCATAATCAACTCCAGAGTTTTAAAAACCATAGGAAACAACACATATTTTAAAGTAGGTTAAAAATACTGTTCGGCTCCCTGGCAGAAATCGGCATATTTCTCCAGTCAGTACATCACCCTGCGATCAATACAAAGGATATTTGTACGGGGCTCGGAAGAGCAGGCTATTAACCCCGTCATCTGGAGCGGAAGTGCTCAACCTCACACCCTCCTCCACGTTGTTCTTCGGCTTTCCGGGGCCACAGCTGTTCCGAGGACCCCGCAACGGGGTCCATGCTTTAGGTAGCGATCGCCGCAGCGTCCTTTGTCTTCGATTTCCACCCCTGCCGGCCCTGCCCTGGGCTGGTAGAGAGCTCATCCTCGGCACCCTGCATGGTGCGGGACCCCTCAACGCCCACCTGACTGCCTCACCTTCACCCAAGCCCCAAACCAGGCACAAAGGGACCCAGATGAACAAGACCCAGGTCGAGTTCCAGAGGGCCGAGGACAAGGCAGATGTCTGAGATCCGAGTGAGCAGGGGCACTGCACAAGTCTCTCCCCTGGGTGCTTAACACCCACTGCACACCACCTCCTACCTACCGAGGCTGGGCTGCCCGCCCACATGGATGAAAGGGGCCTGGCCCGATGGCACATGCTTGTGGTCTCAGCCCTGGAGAGGCTGAGGCAGGAGGATCTCCATCAGTTCCAGGCCAGCCTGGGCTATGTAGTGAGTTCAAGCCCAGCCTGAGACCCTGTCTCAAAAGCAAAAAAGGTGGAGCGGAAGGGACCACCAAGCTGACACAGCACAGTGTGAACTCTGTTACGGTGATCTTACACTGCTCCTGGACTCGGGAGGCTCTGGATGAGTCAGAACGGCACCAGGTGCCCTGTGAGCAGAGCATTCTGGGTGCTCCGGCTTAGTGTTCCTCATCCACCCCTCAGTCTGGGCACCGGCGTCCCCCCACCTTACAGACGAGAAATGCGGCGCTCAGGGTAAATCAGCTGTCCCAGATGTATGAATGTGGAAGATGGTGCAGATGTTTCCTCCGGTGGTCTTCACCCAGCCGGAAGGGCGCAGACGCCCACTCGCGCTAGCTCAGAAAAACACACTGTGCTGTGAGGCTGGAACTTCCATCCCTGCGTAGAAACAGCCTGACTTTCGGGAGGCCGTGACCGTGATGGCCAGGCTCAAGTCTCGACGCTCAGCGCCCCGCCCCCTCCCAGAGCCCAGGCTCCCGGCGCCCCACGTGGCACGGCCGGGCTGTGCAGAGCGTGGAATTCCTGAGCCAAGACTCAGCGCGCCTTAATCTGCAAGCTCAGACATCCAGAGGCGGTGCGAGATTCTCACTTCCGGCTCTAATCGCTTCTGAGCCCCTTCCAGGCGCCCCCCTCTTGGTGCAGCTCCTTCCAGCAGGAGAGTAAGGACTGCCTGGCTCAATCAAGCAGGCGCTTCGCACAGGAGCTCACCTGTGGTCGCAGGTGAGCCCGGAGGTCCCTGGGCCCCAACTCCCACCTCAGCCCCCGGCCGGCTGCTTCACATGCGGCCTGGCCTGCGGCAGACAGCTCCGGGCACGGGTATTCGTCTAATCAACCTGTACTGTGAGCTCCAAAAGGTTTCCAGGCTTTGCCTACCCGGAATGGGGTGGACACATTTCACTTTTACAACTGGATCCGTTGTGCATGGCTCAAGATTCCAGGGAGCACTACCTTCCTACTTTCATGGAGTTTTGCTTGTTTGTTTAGACAAAAGTCCCTATGTCGTCCAGACTGGTCTTGAACTCACTGTGTAGCCCAGGGTGGCCTTGAACTTGTGGCAGTCCTCCTGCCTCAGCCTCCCGAGTACTGAGATGACAGGTGTGTGCCACCATGCCTGGCTAACTTGCTATTTTTCTGACGCCTCTTCCTGAGCACATAATGTTCACAGCTGGTGGGATCGTGGGATTTGTAGTGGATGGCATGTAGCATTTCCCCCCACTGGTACTAGGACTCGAACTCAGGACCTTGCACTTGTGAGGCAGGTACAGCGCTGCTGAGCTACCTCCCCAGCCCATGGGTAGCGTTTCTAAAAAATAAGTACTGGTATGAATTGCCAGCAAAGCAACGCAGGCGAAAGGCTCCCGGAGGCAGGGGCGGGGCCTGCAGTTCAGAAAAGGGGCTCCTAGCCAGGGCCAGGCTCCTGCAGCCCAAGGGGAGCTAAGCAGCGTGTGACCTCCTTCAAAGTGTGGGTGTGCGTGTGCATACACATGCGTGTCTGCACAGGCAAATCCTGCGCCGCACTTAAATCGGGGGACTGAGCAGTGTTGATACCCGGCTGCTTCCAGGGCCTGGGGCAGCCACAGGAGGAGGCCACAGCTTGGACCTGGGTCGCTGCAGTGCTGGTCTGCAGGGCTCGGGAGGAGGCTGGGCTGGGCTGGGCTTTGCATCTGGGAAGAGGAGGCTGCGGGGCGCAGGCTGACGGGGGGCGGCCACCCAGGGCCGTGCGGGGAGGGCACAGCTCAGAGCACAGCGCCCCGGGGAACCCCGGCTCCACTTGGCTCATCGGTAACACCGGAGTCTGTGCTCTGTCCCCTTTCAGTGTGGACGTCGCCCAGAAAAACCCAGTCAGACAGAGCTGGGCTGCGGGGATTTGCTGTGTGTTTTGGGTTTTGTTTTTTACAAAAGATATCTAATCTGTCCAAATAAGATGTGTGTGCCTACTCAGAGCCTTCGACCCCAGCAGTGCTGATCTAGGCGGATAAGACAGGGCCCTCCTCGCAGGAAGTGCAGCTGGGCAGGTGGCAGCTTCTGGAATTCCAGTGCTCGTGCCGCATTTGGTTTATACGGCGCACAGTTCCTGACTCCGGAGACCTCTGGAAGCCTATGGCCGGCCCTCAAACGAGGCACCCCTAGCTCATTCTGGAACGCTCCCACTCCTTTTCTTCTTTTCATTTTTTTGAGACGGGTCTCACCATGTGGCTCAAGCTGGCCTTGAACTCACTGTGTAGCTCAGAGTAGCCTCCAACTTACGGTGGTCCTCCTGCCTCAGCCTCCTGGGTGCCACCACATTTGTGACACTGTCCACAGCCAGGGTGGTGGAGATGCGCCTGTGAGGGTGAGGCCTGAGGAGAAGCCCCGCCTGGTCTAGAGCCACTGCTGCCCGGCACAGCTGCCACCCGCGGGGTTTGTGGAAGTGGAGAAGCAGTACCATGAGGCACAGACCCAGCGGTGCTCCCGGCAGATGCCAGGCAGCAGGCGGAACCCCAGTGAGGGGCCTGAGCTCCTCTGCGACCGAAGACTTGTTCAGCTGCTCACAGGGTCTGCTCTGATCGGAAACGAATGGAACCTGCACCCGCTTCCCGGCTGAGATCTGGATCCAGTTTGCTTCCACGTCAAGGCCATGCCAACCGCTGCATCTGCAGCACAGGCTGAGTGTTAGAGCAGCGCCTTCTTCCCACGTCTCCCTGTGTCTGGGCCGAGGTCGCAGCCGGGCCCCTGTGTCTCTATGGCACTGTGCTGCAGGTCCGGGTTCTGGCTGGAAGTCCAGGCCTCCGCATCTCTCCAACCCCTCATAGTCTGCACAGCTCACAGTGCTGCAGGAGGGACTCAAACCCTGGCATCCGGCTGCACAGCCTGTCTGCTCCCCAAGTGGGCTGAAAGGACCCCCGTTCCACAGAAAAGGAGACAGGGCCACGGCCACTCCCCAAGCAGACCTAGCAGAGAGGCTCTCAGCACAGCTTCTGGCTCTGTGTGCTGCTGGTTAATTAAGGGTACATTAGTAGTGATTCGCTTTTAAAACTCAACACACCGGGCATGCTGGTGCACACCGGTGATCCCAGCACCCAGGAGGCTGAGGCAGGAGGATCGCCTCAAGTTCAAGCCCAGCCTGAGCTACATAGTTAACAACTTCTTCAGCGTCTACCTTTGCACTTGACAAGCTCCCCACGCTGGGTAAATACCCTGGCCCCAGGCCCTCCTCAAGGACAGGAGTCCCAGCCGCTCCGCGGATGCGGCCCCACCCCAGACGCAACAAGTCTGCCAGGAGGTATTTCCCTATCAGTAGGAAGTCAGCTGTAAAAGTGTCTCTCAGCTGGCAAAATACTTTCCAGGCAGAGCTCCACCGAGAACAGCACTCCTCCCGGTGCCGAGAAACACACATTCCAGGCCCAAGTTTTCCTTGCAAGTCAGCCTGGCTTCCGGCGAGTCTGTTGCTGTTTTCCTGCTGCTGTCACAGCCACGCAGCGGCTTAAGGCAGGAGTTTCCACTGCTCCACCGAGGACGGAGAATTTCTGAACAGAAGTCTGTGGGCTTCCACGGGGCTGATGAAAACCTTCTCTGCCCAGCAAACCGCTCCGGCTGCTGAATGTCGGAAATGTCAGCCGGGTGTGGGGAGGCGCAGGAGGGCTGGGG